TTTAACCCCTCGTGCTCATATTAACCTTACGAATCTTCTCTAATGCAGTAGTGCTGTATTAATTGTCTGTATCCGATCCATCTGACGACCTTGAATCTTGCGTGACCAATTTTTCCAACAGGGTTCACAGTATAAAAATAAATAAAAATAATCGAATAAAAAATTGGTTGGTTCATTATTAAAGAAAGACTTCATCTCAGCCAATTGGGTTACTTGCGTAACTTATACAAAGTTTTAAACTAAACTAGTCGAAATTAAAGTTTAGTTTAAACTAAAACAACGAACAGTACCTGCTTCAGTCATCTAAACATTTATGTATATGATGAAGGAATAATTATAAATATTTAAAATTGTTACTATATAATATATAAAGTTTTTAATAAGAGCTGCTTAGTTCGTTAAGACGAAAACGTTTTTAAAAATTTTCAGTTTTATAACTCTGGGTATATATGATGGCAACAGTTTGGTGGCAACAGTTTGTGAAGCTTCTGATCAGCAACGACACACTTAACGAGTTTCTGACAGGCCTCTATTCGTCTGTCACTGCATGAGGATCTTTGGTCCACTTTGTGCTCAACAGTCATAATTACAACTTGAGTATATAACAGAAAGTGCTCTTCGCTGTATCCGTTCAATCGCATCGCCAGTGGCTCCGTGGCCGGGGGAGGCAGGGGGGCCATGGCCCCACCTATTGTTGAGACCCGTCGGAAAATTGTCAATGTTGTCGGAATCTCCGTGGTGAAGCAGACCTGGATATGTGCAGGCTCGCCGATTACTAGTTGGGAAAAAAATGCTACGTAAGCAATTGTACCGTTCTTGTCCGGAATTTTTTTTTTACCAAAAAAGTTGTCGACGGGGGGGGGGACCCACGGCGGCACTGCGCATCGCTTATGAAAATTGGTAAGGCGTAATGGGAAACCTGGTACAGGGAAAACCGGTTGCAGTCGTGCAAGGTATGATTCCCAACTGCCCATATATGAAGTCAGTTTATTGAACATTATATTTAATATAAAGTTAGTTTATTGCACAAGTTGTATTTAGTTCAACTTTTTCAAATAAAAATGCTACCTGCAACTTGTCGTCTGTGGTTCTACTTCGCAGCAATTCCCTTTCTATTAGAAATTTTTAGTTTACAGAATTCATGATATTCTGATGCTGATTATTCTTCCTGCAGGAACTCGTCTTTGACACAGACACTGTAATATATGTCAGACACTGTATTATATGTCAGACACTGTAATATATGTCAGACACTGTAATATATGGAATATCTAGCTCAATGTAGTTAGATAAGCTGTAGTTTAGACAAAGCTGTGATGTTTAGCCTATTGTCAAAGATGTGAAGATATGCTTTGATTGTCCAGGACAAATCATACAGTTCTTTCCTCTTCTGTTTCTTAGACAATGTAAATCTGGTAACGGTTTTGCCTCGACGGCGTCGTTGAAGGTCATCAAACTCTATGTGTAAAACTGTGTTCACAAACAGTTCTTTTGCCGCGAGTTTATGCATTCGTTGGAATTTCTTGCCATCGGAATGTACGTATAAACGCATAGTTAAGGACTGGGTGTCTTGACTGTCATATCCTTATGGGATTACTCCGATACAGCAAGGGTTTGCAAACATGAATTTCATGGCTAATGCGCTGGCTTATATTTGCAGCGACTTTAGCATTAAAGTGGAAACCATATAGGGAAAGAGAGATTATGCGATTCTAAAATATAATAATCTTAAATACAACAAATATGTTCATCTTTGTCCCAGTCCATTGGAATTTCATCATCCTCTTGGTCTAGCAGTTCGGCAATTGCTGCGTCGACGTAAATATTTGCAAAAGTGCTCTTCCTTTTGTTTCAAACCACAACAATACTTTGAAGTTTGTCATGGTTTAGATCCATTAAATTTTTCTTTCCAGCTTCTAATATCCTAAACTCGATGTTCTTCGCGTCAGTTTTAGATTTTGAATTTTCCTGACTTTAACACATTTCGATTTTTTCTTTTTATTAGCTAATATCGAACGGCATTCTACCACATGTAACAAAGCTGAAACATGATACATTTGACAATTGTTTTTCTGTGCAATTGTTTTTTTCGCCGGACTGTAACAGTCTCATTATGCTCTTTGACGCCAGTTCCAACTTCGCCAAGTAGACTAAATGCGTACGATTTGAGAGAATCACCACAGGTCATTATATGATAGATAGTCAATCAGTGCGAAATGGATTGTTATCCATTTTGTTTATCTGCTTAATATTGGTTTCTAATTATCCGCGGGAATTCAGTCCTTTTCCCAAAACAAACGCATATACATTCAATTCACAAGCATACTCTTATAGGTTATGACACACAATAATAATGTTAAAATATATTTAATTTACGCTTACCATCCAGGAATTCCTCCTCAAGTCCTTGTTTTTCAAATTCAGAACTACTTTGTGCTCAGCTTATATTAAAAAATTGCAAAGTCAATTCAAACACACGTCACTTCTGTTATATATGCATTAAACCTTCGGCATTCCTGGAGGTAGATAATTCGTTGTCTTAGCATCCTCTCTTTCAGTATCTTCTTCACCACACTTCTTGCTCCGTTTTGGTTTTTGCCGATAAACATAATCACACCTATACCCCAAATACATCTTCAAAATTGCGATAGATAGAGAGACCCCCACTCGAGATTACCTTTCCGCTTTTCCAAAGGCATTATGCAATTTTCCCGATATTGTACTGTTGTTGTCTTGACCAGGTTGGGTTGCTCGAGCTGAACTTTGTTTCACGTTTTCTGCTAAACATCGTGTCCCCTTAAAAAGTTTTTTGATTTGCCATATTTGACGGCGAAGACAAATTCGTTGCCCTCACTAACTTTGCAATCTTGTCGCGATTTGTTTAGCACAATGATTGCAGCTTTCACGTCTTCCGTGACTCCTGCCAATGTTAACCATCATAGTCTGCGGTTTCGAAAGATAACAGTGACCTCGGTCTTAATCATCCTAGACATTCCGCTCAGCCTCATTCAATAATACGTGACAATAGACAATAAGATGTTATTTACCTCGTCTCTTGTTGAACATAATCAACATTGTCAAGCAGATTTCTGCTAGTTCGCTCCAATTTTCTTTCGTTGGCTGCTGATCTACTTCATTGGTTAGAACCGAGATTCTCTGCACGATGAAATTTCGCATCACGTTCAAATCGTTCGTCAGCGGTAAAACAGCAGGCTGATTGTGCTTTTTAGAGCAAGGTTGTTCAGTGCAGGCGCCGTTACCTTGTTGTGCCTATTGGCCTCTTACAACTGCAGGAATATGTCGTGCAATTTCATCTTTTTTCTTCATGTTTTTCTCTCGTAGTGCTGGTGAACTGCAGTTGCGGCTGCCCTAAACGTCTTCTTTGACGACGATCCATCATTCTTTTCATATCCAGCGATATATCTTTTTACTGTCGTTTAATGGAAATCTATTTGAATTAAAATGTGCAGTGGAGTGTAAGTATAAAGTTCATCTCGAGACTCAGTGAATTTGGAGTCAATACCGGATTCACGAAAGCATTCGCCGCCAGTGCAATTTTCATAGTTAAAAAAATCTTTGTAAAGCTCTTTGCAAGGATTTTCCTTTTGGGTTTCATCCGTGGGCGGGGTTTCATCCATGGCAGCTGTTTCATCTTCGTCGTGTTGACAATTATCACTTATTTACTGAGACCGAGGGAAACTGTGTTTTGTGGACCCGAGACCGTCGAACAACAAACTAAAGAACAAATGAACGTAAATACATGAAATATTTTATTGTTAAAACGTTAAATTAAACACTACAGTTACTTAAAGCGAAAGTTTAAATTAATAGGTATGTCCAAAGGTCGCACCTTCACGTGATGGCGCACGTGATTTTTTTTCGTTATTCGCCGGTCGATAACGTATTGTTTCCCTCTCGCGCTGTTGCGAGGGAAACAGTCTAATTTCATCACTCTCACGTGATATGCTCTCGACCAATAAAACACTTGAAAAATGCAACGTTGACTATTGGTATACAATAAACACACTTCTTCACTTTCAAGAAACCGGCTGCGATAACCATACTTCCTTGTTTTAAGCCTGGTTTCCATTAAACCGTAAATTAAATCTGGTTTCCATTAAATCTGGTTTCCATTAAATCGGTCTTGCGATAATTACGATTTAATGGAAACCAGGCTTTACAAGCTTCGTTTGGGTGTTTAATAGCCATTGCTTGCTTACCATTTCCCTTGTATTTCAACTTTGCACTATCCCTGCTCACGGGGATCTTTCAGTTTATTTTTTGTTGTTTCTGCGATGCAATGTAATACCTTAATTATTTAGTTCCGTTGGTTCAGCAACCTTGACGTTCACTTAAATTGACCAGGAAATGTTTAACAGAAAGTTGAAACCAGGCCTTCAAAATTGCAGTACCTTATTATATACTTATTTCTTGACCATAACAGTTTGATTTCATTTACCGCATTGCAGTAAGAAAATAAAATTGTGAAACTGAGGTTTTTGAAAAAGCAAACGCTTATGGAGCGTTAATTTCAAAGCTGATATTCGCAAAACCACGTTTACTGAATTATTTAATTGTAAAACAAAAATTAAAAATTTTATTTCAAATTTTTTGACTGCTCCCATGATTTAAGTCTTATGTCGATTAAAATTGACTTCATATCATAATAGAATACAGTTTTCAATTTTATTGCGGTTATAAATACTAAACTGATTATTCGCAGGGAATGTTTTTCTCGTGTAATTCCGACATCCGTCCAGGTTTTCATTCCCTTCACTGAAAAAGTTTTTGCTGAATTGCTAATGTGCAAAACTGTTGAATGCAGCAATGTAAAAATGAGTGACGTATTAATATACTTATATTGTTTTTGTATTTTTGTCTTTCAATAATAATGGGAATAATTACTGTTTATCGTCTATTCCTAAACTAATGGTATATGTTATCAAATGTTGTTATGTATGTTATGTATATTTGTGGAAATGTCCAAATGGTCAAAACTCTCATCTAAATGTTTGTTGTGTAATATGTTAAATGTTTCTTTCTTGTTGTTTAATACATGTCAAATGTTACTTTATGTGTTCCTCATTTCTTCAACAGTCTGTCTTTTCCGGACACGATTCACTTCCTATGCCTAACATTGCTATTATTTTGTGACTATTCAGTTGAGTTGTGATTATCTGTTCCAAAGTAAGCCTCTTGCTAATTAAACCCAGTTTTTATGCATCGGAAACTCGCCAAGTAAAGCAGTACAGAGTTCAACTAAACCCGTTCCAAGATTGTGGAAACAATCTCCGTAACTTAGCCTAAGTTTGAAGAGTAGTGCCAACTGCCAAGAGTGATCTTTTGGACTTGTGCCTTGCGATATTCACTTGGATGGACACTTAGAAAATGGCACTCACAAATTCACAGAACGTAACTTTTATATAATCGATGGAACCACTCCACAATAAGGTGAACCTGTTTCGAATTACAGAAAAGTGTTCTACTTTTATAATTTTTAACGCAACTAAACTGGAGCTGATCACTTGAAAGATGGACCTGTAATTGATAACGCGGAGGCTTTCTGTCTTTAATGTATCTTATATTTATTTTTATATTGTAACTTATCGTATTGGAATATCTTGCCCACCAAGGGAGAAGAACCGATAAATATTATAAAAACTACATAAGTTTACGTTAAGATCATTAATTTACTTCTATGTGAATCGTTGTAAAATGTTGTTTTATTCCAGAAGCTTATACATGTTGTTATTATGGAATAGAAATATGAAAATAGAAATGAGAAATACGTTGAAACTTCGCTTCATTTGATCAGTAATGATAATTATTGTCTTAGTGCTATGTTCATTTCCAGTTTCCTCCCGTGGTACAGAGCCATAAAAATATCGTGATTGACTTAATTGTTGTTACGAAAGTCAAAGTAGCAAAGTGGACCTATCTGTTTCGAAAGGCCAAATCACACAACGTGGATATGTCTGCTTTGATCACAAAATAAAATTATTTTACGTGTCGGTAGCGGTTTCGACGTCGATTTATTTGATTGCTGGTTAATAAGGTGGTAAATAAAGTTAAGGTGGAATGACAACGGCCAGTAGTTGTATTAGCTATACTGAATCCCGTTTTCCACTTCGCTCGAAACGAAAAACAAATTTCTGCAATGTGATTGGTTAGGGAGAAGAATTTGCCGCGAAAAATGTGGTCGCTTCCTACTTTTTCGCAGTGATTTTTACGCTTCCCCTTTTAGCAGCACGCGCGCAAAGCATCGCGGTAGTTGATTATCAAAGTCAATTTGAGTTTTCAATTGTCATGGCGAAGTGTTTGGGAGCGATATTTTCTGATCATAATTTAGTCATTTACGCAACAACAATACGGATTTTGTTTTAAAGAAACCAAAAACTAATTTTATGAAGAAAAGTATTACCTATTCTGCCGCTTCAGTTTGGAATGATTTGCCAAAATGTGCAAAAGAGAAAGGGATTGGTGTAGCAAAATTTAAGTCTATTGTTGACCGTCGCTGAGTCTTGTAAATATTTTTAACATAATATAGTAATTGTATAATCCCCGAGTCGACGGCGCGAAGCGCCGTGCGAGGGTACTAATTCCCCAAAGTCCGTCGCAGGGACTTTCCACCGGCTGGGAAAGAACCTGCTATCGGCTGGTCACGTGTCTCCCAGAATCTGGGAGATAACAAACAATTTCAGTTAGGGTGGGTACCTAAGTACGTGTTGTCATTGAGCAAGGAGTGAGCGAAGAAATAACCCAGAAATCAAGCAGGAAATATTTACAAAATTGTATATTTTATTTGTCATGAACACTATCAATAGGGCCATTTATACGTGACAAAATAAGTCGCGACTTACATAAGACGCGACTTAAATAAGTGGAGTTATCGCATGAATGGTTCTCTACGGCTTTGGTCTTATTTATTTGCTATAGCTATAATGTTGTTTTGGTTGTTTTTAGTGTGAAGTTTCTTCGAAACTTCACAGTATTGTGATGACTGGGGGGAAATTCACACGAATCAGTCAGTCATTCATTCAGTCATACAGTAAACTTTCCGGGGGGTGTATACGATATATGTTCGTAGTGATTTATCGTACTTAGTCAGTGCTTTGAAGGTTATTTAGGCAATTTCAGTTAACTTATTTACATATTCTGTTATCCTTTTGCCAAGTTCACAAAAATATCGAGGAATCGCTTTCGTTATTGTAATTTTTTGTAAATTTTAGAACATTCGCTTCTCATGTTGTGTAAAGGATCTTTACCCCGGAACACCCGATTTTTCTTTAGTAGCGCAAATGCGCATGCGCTATCAAGCCGTAGATCACGATGGCGTGACGATATACTAGGAAGGAGTGACAGTGTAGTTTTCAGATGTATAAACATTTCAGACGTGAATATTGAGTAAATCTTTGAAAATCTACGCAAAATATAAATTGATCTTATGCATTACGGGCGTTCAATTAAGTTCCGATAATATTTAGACGGTATATTCGTTATACAGAGCTAGGAAGGAGTTAGACCGCCTAGACAG